TCTCTCTCTCTCTCTCTCTCTCTCTCTCTCTCTCTCTCTCTCTCTCTCTCTCTCTCTCTCTCTGTTTTTCGTCTTCGCCTCAAGACTGCACACGCTTCTTTTTTTTTTTTTTTTTTCGAAACGCTCGTCCTCGGGACGGTGTTGCAAAATGCAGTGGCCCAGTAATGAATATACTTCCTTTTTTTCCCCCTGATTAATAGTGATTATACTTTTTTGGAAATTAAAAAGCCAAGAAAAAGACCAAACAAGCATAGTATAGAATGCGTGGCGACTGCTTGGTGGCCAAAAATTGAGGGATCCGTTGACACGTCGTTGCGGCGCGCTGATGTGGAGTTGCAGCTGACGTGGAAGAAGAGCTATAGCTTCAAGCTGTTGCTGTCACCCGCTCCCGCTCCCGATCCCGCCGATCCCGGGATCTCGATCCGGATTTGTTTGGCAGGGTCATTGCAGCGTGCGCTGACGTGGAAAAGAGCGACAGCTCCAAGTCACACTATGTGGCTGTCACCGATCCCGACCCGGTGACACCACTCATCGGGTTGGAACCGACTAGAATGAAGCGCCGGCGATCTCAGGACAGCCTTGTCCACTCGTTGAGTGAATGACACCTGCCACCGGATCGGGATAGTGAAGAGCCGCGATCGCTTCTGCTGCAATGCAATTCAATTAGTTTTTTTTTTTTTTTTTTTTTTTTTCCCACGACGACAGCGGGGGGACTCTCTTCAAAAGATCCCGGTCTTAGATGCGGAATCGATCTTTGCCTGCAAAAAAAAAAAGAAAAAAAAGGGTCGACTTCTTTTGCTCTTCTCCCCCCCTCCTCCCTCCCCCCTCTTGTTAGCAAATGTATTTGGTCGTTCTGCTAGAGCAGGTTCATGCCACGATAGCATGGAATTCGGCCATGGAGATCTGTAGAGAACATGGCGTCCATCGTTTTTCGTCGGAGTATAAGAAAATCTGACCAATGAAAAAAAAAAAAGAACTGGAAAGTTTCCGAAATGCCCCTCCGACTTCCATTTATTTCTGGTATGCCCCTCTGAAGGCCGACTTACCCTGTCGCGCCCCTCTGACAACGATTAAAGTTTCCCAAAAAACCTTGGTGTCACGACAGGATAAGCTGGCCGTCGGAGGGGCATATCGCAAATAAATGGAAGGCGGAGGGGCATTTCGAAAAATTCCCCCCCCCCCCCAAAAAAAAAAGATCAATTAAAAAGACGAAAATTTAGACCAATGAAAAAAAAAAAGGATCTGGCCAGATTTCCACGTGGCCAGATCCTTTTTTTTTTTTTTTTCATTGGTCAAAATTTTCGATAAATAAAGGATTTTACATTTTCGATATACTGTGTGCACGGGTCATGCGTGTATGTCCCACGTGGGAAATGAAGTGCAATCCTTTATTTATTTATTCATTTATTGAAAATGTTTAATAAACATTTCGTTCTAAAGGCCCAAATCTTAAATGCAGTGCCATGTAAACATGAACCCCCCACCTCTCCCCCCACCCAAAAAAAAAAAGAAAAAAGAAAAAGAGAAAAAGAGAAAAAAGGGAGTATCGATCAGCCTAACGATGGGTGGCAACACGTTTTACTGTTTCACCCCAAGGAACTATTGTTATTATAATTGAAAAAAAGAAAAAAAAAAAGGAGAAAGAGAAAGGGAAAAGAAAAAGAAAGAAAAGCAAAGAAAAAGAAAAACGAATTGTTGGTATTATAATTTTTCTCCTGCGCGCCCTCATGTAAGTGAACTGTCTTTTGCGCAGTAAATATTGCAGCACCACCTTCTCCTCCTCCTCCATTCTCTCTCCCTCCTCTCCCCGTCCTCCCAACTCCTCTGCCAACTCAAAAAAGTGGGCCTCAGAACGCAGGCCTTCTTTTTCTTTCGCTGCTCAAGTACATAGAGGCCTCCCTCTTCTCTCTCTCCATCCTTCCTCTCTCTCTCTCTCTCTATATCCTCTTCTCTCCTCTCTTTCCATTCTCTCAATTCTTTCTCTCTATTCTCTCTCTATTCTCTCTCTATTCTCTCTCTCTGTTCTCTCTCTCTATTCTCTCTCTCTATTCTCTCTCTATTCTCTATCTCTATTCTCTCTCTCTATTCTCTTTCTCTATTCTCTCTCTGCATTCTCTCCCCATTCTCTTCCCATTGTCTCTCTATCCTCTCTGCATTCTCTCTGCATTCTCTGTCCCCATTCTCTCTCTTCATTCTCTCTTCCCATTCTCTGTCTCCATTCCATTCTGTCCCCATTCTCTGTCCCCATTCTCTGTCCCCATTCCATTCTCCGTCCCCATTCTCTGTCCCCATTCCATTCTGTCCCCATTCTGTGTCCCCATTCCATTCTCTGTCCCCATTTTCTCTTCCCCATTCTCTCTCCCCACACTCTCTTCCCGTTCTCTCTTCCCCATTCTCTCACCCATTCGCTCCCGGCATTGTCACTCCCCGTTCTGTGTTCCCATTCTCTCCCTGCATTCTCTCTCTCCCCATTCTCCTTACACATTTTCTCCCTCTCCATTCTCTTGCTGCTTTCCCCTAGGGCATGCCGATTGGCAGAGTGGCCGCATTTTGAACACGTGTACACTTGCAAGTTGCAACAGTTTGCTATCCCGAGTGTATGTGACCTCGATGATGACCTGGTTCAGGCGGGAAAGTCCCAGTGTGTCAGTTCGACTCAAACCAGAGCATGCCCGACAAACGGGCGGTGCTGAGTCCCTCAGCTTGTCAATCAACACAGCTCGACGAATTATTTCTCTACCAGGAAAAAAGAGATTAAAAAAAAAAACAAAAAACAGTTGATTGCCCCACCCTCTCTCTCTTCTCCTGCCACCAAACATCTTCTTCCCTTCTGTTCTCTCTTCTCAACCCTCTCCTCCTCATTGTCATCCATCTCCATCCTCCTCCTCCCCTTCCTCCTCTTCTTCTCCCTCCTCCTTTTCCCTTATCCTCCTCCTCCTCCTCCTCCTCCTCCTTCCCTCCTTCCCTCCTTCCCTCCCTCCCTCCCTCCTCCATCCCTCCTTTCCTCCCTCCGTCCTTCCCTCCCCTGTTGAATCACTATTCCCTTGTCTTCTTTTCCCATCCCTCCCTCGTCTTCTCCTCCTCGTGTTTTTCGCCTTTACGAATATAGACAAATAAAAAATAAACACAAATCGACACACTCAGTCATCAGCAAAGCCAAAAATAAATCATACGGTGAATAAAGAAATCTAAAAAATAAGCGACTTTGACTTGTCCCTCTCCCTCCCTCCCCTCCCCCTCCCCTCTCCGGCCCCCCTTTCTCCCCCCCCTCACTCCTCTTCGGTTGAACTTCTGTAATTGAAATTCCCTCCCTCTCCCCGATCGACTTCCCGCAGTTTGGAGGTCTGCCTTCTGTCCTCCCTGCCGCTTTCCCGCCCCCTCTTTCTCATAATCGTAAAATAATAATTCGTTGATTAAAGAATTAGCCTCTTTTTTTTTTTTCTTTTTTTTTTTTGAAGAAAAGAAACAAGCAGTGTAGTAACAACATCAGAAAAAAAAAAGAAACAAGCAGTACTAACATCTTATGGCCTTTTTTATTCTTTAGATCGACGGCGCAGATGATGTAGTGTGGTGCAATTCTGGTGCAGTGGAACCGGGGCCTTGCTCGAGATTAAGCAAGCAACCCCGCAGAATCGAATGTGGTGGGGGTGGAGGGGGGGGGGGGGACGTGTTGTGTTTGCAAAAAGAAAAAAGAAAAAAAGGAAAGGGACTGGCTCTCCTTTTGTCACTGTTGTCGTAGTCATGGCATCATTGCTCTCCTGGCACGTCCTCCTCTCCTCGTCGTTCATCTCTTGTAATCGTGGGGAGATGGGAGGTAAAGGACGAGGAGGGAAATTCCATCGTGATGATGATGATGATGATGATGAAGATGATGATGATGATGATGATGATGATGACGATGAAGGTGAGGATGGTGATGACGATGAAGGTGATGATGATGATGATGATTAGGAGGAGGAGGAGGAGGACGACGACGATTACGATGAGGAGGATGATGATGATGATGATGATGATGATGATGATGGCGATGATGATGATAAGCAGGAGAAGGGTGAGGAGAGGAAGGAGGCGGTGCAGGTGGAGGTGTAGGAGGAGGAGGAAGTAGAGGTGTAGGAGGACGAGAGGAGGAGGAAGTGGAGGGGGAGGGCGAGGGGTGCAGGACGAGGGAAAGCTGCAGGAGGAGGAGGAGGAGGAGGAGGAGATGTGGGCGGAGGCGGAGGAGAGAAACCGTAAGTACGGAGGACGAGCAAGGAGGAGGAGGAGGAGGAGGAGAGAAGAAGAGAAAGGAGAGGAGTGTAAGGGGCAGTTTCCGGAGGAGGACAAATGATGATGAGAAGGAGGTGGAGGAGAGAGGAGAAGGAGGCGAGAGGAGGAGGAGAAAGGAGAGGAGCGTAAGTGACAGTTTCGTGACGCGTCCGATTTATATCTGTTGTCACTGTGTATTTATATTTGTGATCTTCTGTTATCACTGCTTCTTGTCACAGTGTCCGATTGTTGTCACTACGT